TTATAAAGTAACTTATGAGCAAAATATAATTATACCTCAATAAAGTGGGGAGAAAGTACACTTACAAAGCTTAAAAGCCACCTTGTAAGAAATCATTGGTTAGCCATACTTTTTTAAAGTTAACTCAGCATGTCTTTTTTTGTGTAACAGAAAATCGTACTTACTTTTTTGACATTTTTCTTGGACTGTGGGTGACAGGAAGGAGACCACCCTGTGAAGGAGAGAACTCCCGTCTTCCATAGTCCTGTGTCCACACAAGCCACTCCCCTCAGCCTGCCTGATGGGCCACTGAATGTGCACTGCAGGACAAGGGACAGCTAAAACAGCAGCTGAGAAGGTAGACTTGCCTCTATTGCTGAGTTTTCTTTTGTAGTTTTCCTTTGTTTGGTATTTTAGAAACATTTTGCCACTGTTTTACCACCAAAGGTTGGCACCTACTTGTTTTTCCCACAATTAGGATCACCAAGCTCGTCTCAAATTTACTTTGAGGGTAAGCTTAAGATAATTTCTAACTGAAATATTTAATGCAAAATTTGCTTAAATGTCCATATAGGGATGTGTGCAAGCTGTATGCTGACCATATGCTGATGTAGACTGAGACCTAGTTCTGGGGAGGATGTTAGCATATATATATATATGTCCCAGGGATTTTAGGAGTTAGAAGCCAGGAACCATGGATGAAAACACATATATATCATAACACCACTGGCCACTGATGAGGACAGTCCTTTAGTCCCTTCATGTTGAGTGTGAACACATATTTGTGAAGGCATGTAAGCCAGCCCTCCATACTTTTATCTCCCGATTCTAGACAACCAATGCCCTAATTAGTTGTTCTACTTCTTTATTACTAAATGATTACTCTAAACTATCAGGCCACCCCCTGGTTTTCAAACACAGATCCCTTACATCAAAAGAATATAGAGGCCAGGCATGGGGGCTCACGCCTGTCATTCCAGCACTTTGGGAGGCAGAGGTAGAAGGATCACTTGAGCCCAGGAGTTTGAGACCAGCCTAGGTAACATAGCAAGACCTTGTCTCTACAGAAAAATAATTTTTAAAAAAGGATATATAATTTAAAAGATACTGCCTTATTACTAGACTCTCATGTAGTAATTAATAATTAGTCCAGTCCGTCATAGTGTATGAATGTCTCCCAGAGTAAAGTCACTCAGGTTTGCAGGTTTCCTCTCAATCTTGTCAGGTGCCAAAAACAGGAGTGGTCTTGGCAACTGTATAGCCTCACCCTTTCAGGCATCTAGAATAACCGAGCTGAGACATCATGTCATCTTTTGCTCTGAGACTCTTTTGAGGTGTTAATGTAATATTGAATTTCTTTCCATTAATCACCATTTTTTTCTTTGCTCTCAGCTACTATTTCTCCTTCTCTCCATTAATACTCAACCATTTTCACCTTTGGAAGGGACATTAGAATTGCCACTGTGCTGGTTTAGATGGTGGGCAGAAATATTACTCTAGGAAGTAGCTCCTCCTCAGTCTGCTGCCATTCAGATAGAGTAAGGTTACACAGGTGCAGAACTAGTGAGCTAGTTTTGCCACCAGAGAACATAGCGGCATTCACTCTTGATCCCAATTTCTTAGATGGGGTGAAGGCACAATCCGCCCCCCATTATCCCGTTAGGAATTCAGATACAAACTTTAAAACTGTAGTTACAGCTTCTTGCTTAGAAATCATCCTTGCTTCCAGCACTTGTAGTTGTAGCCCTGGTCCTAGGATCATTGCATCAGACAGAGGAGAGAAAAAAAAATTGAGGTTATTTGGGGAAGAAAGAGAAAATTATAGTCATTATACCAGTGTACTCCTCTCTTGGCAAGAACTGCATAGTGCTATCAGCATCCTCCCCAACCCCTCTCCCCCAGATCAACCAAAAAAAATTAAAAACCAGAAAAATCTAGCGGGGACACTCCCTTAGTCCCACTCATGTTGAGTGTGAGCACCTACCTGTGAAGGCGTGTAAGCCAGCCCTTCATACTTTATCTCCCTGTTCTAGACAACCAACATTTTATACTTGTTCTACTTCTCTATTACTAAACTATTACTCTAAGGAGGTATCTCTCTGCTCATCGTTGGATATTATGGCTTATACATTGTTCCTTGGTCTGAAAAAATGACAGTTGTCTGTACAAATCCATGCATGTCTTCAGTTCTTGTTTTTTTTTTTTTTTTAATGGTGCTCTGAGCATTTTCATCTTCCACTAAGGAAGCAAAGCCCAGTCCAGAGTCAGCATCTAATTTCTGTCAAGACCCATTTGTAGCCCCCCAGGGCTACCAGCATCAGTCTCACTTGCCAGCTCTGGTCAGGGCCTTCCCACCAGGCAATCTGCCCCACAGCCATCAACAGTTTCTGTCTCTCTTGCTGACAAACAGGACAGTTCTTCTTATTGGCATTCTGTGCCTGCAAGGATGCAAAATGAACCTGTTTAGATTCAGCCCATCTCTGTACTCTGCAGTACAGATAATACTCTGCAGTATTCCTATATCCACTCCCTTCAGGGACCCAGGTGGCGACCACAAGGGCAAACACAGAGATAGCTGCTTGTCTATTCCAGTCACCTTCCCAGCCTGGGGAGGAAGTTCTTCTGATGGGCATTGACTTATTCTCCTTTAGCGCACCTCTCAAATTTCTACAGGGCTATATCCCATATGGACATTCCTTTAATAGACCAGATTTCCATTGTCCTCTTGCCTGAGTGTATGGCCAGGTGATTGGTCACTGCCCATGAATCAGTAAAAACCCAAACATGGGGGCTTCTACTACTGTTCAGTTCTTCCATTACTGTAAGAAAAACAGCATGCAGTTCAGCCCACTGAGCTGATCTGTTTTTACCTTCTTTGATCAAAGCAGCAGCCTTCCAAACAGGAGGATGTTGTCCATTCACTTTGGAAATGCTTTCTGTAAACAGAGCAGCTCCTTGTTGGTCAATCAAGAGCTGTTCACAGGGCACTGTCCAAGTGTCTATAGAAACCAGCAGCACCTCACAGTTTGCGTCAGTCCTGGGGGTAAAGAGGCTCCCTGCTCATGAGTATCTCCTTCTTGCATTCCCCAGGTGGCATGATCCCCTAGAAACCATTTCCATGTTATTGTGGAACTCTTCTGGGCACTGCCACTCCCTGTAGCATGTTTCTCTGCTGTCAGCTCTTCAATCAAACCTGCACATGCTTCCCTCCATAGGTCCAAGGGGGCTCGGTGGGGCCTGACCACAATTTAATCACCTCTGTCCAATAGTTAATCTCATTATGGTTTGTGTGAAATTTCCAAACTCAGTTGTGTTTGCCTGTGGGCAAATTGCTTATGCTAGTTATTTTAGGAGTATAAACAGCAGTAAAATCTTATATGACTGTCTAGAAGTGGAAAGAAGTGATGGTGGACATAGACATGGCAGGAGAAAATGTGACTGCCTGGGGACCATTTTTGCAGGGATATGAGGAGTGAATCTGTGGACAAAGGCTGGTAATTGGCAAAGCCATGTCACACCCCTTAGGATTAGCAGTTACTGAAGGATATCAACAGTCACCTACCTGATAAAGCCATGCACCAGCTGACGGCTTCTCCAGTGCTGGGGCAGCTGTGCCGGTGGCAGGGACTGCCGCACGGTGAGGTCCTCACCTCCCAGAGTGATGAGGGGGTCTCACTCGCCATCTTCTCCCAGTCCCTGCAGCTGGGGAGCTCACTCTGGCAGCTGAAGTTCTGACTTTTTACGCAATGATCAAGTGTTTTGATCCAGAAGTGATTTAAACTCCTAAATTCCTAAATAAAACTAGGCCCAGTAATCCCAGAAAAAGGCTAATAGCTCCTTCTTCTCTCACTTAACTAATAAGAAATGTATCATTTTACAAAATAAGTTTTGAATTTTGTTTGAATTTTTGTTTTGTTTATCAGGTGCTACCCTAGTTCCTTTATTCTTCATGTTATAATTATATGCTGTAGAATGCATGTCATCAATTGTATTTTTCTTCTCATATTCTGACACTGATGATAATCTCAATGTTTGGAAAAAAAACTATTAAATAAAATGCTTCTGTTTTTGTCATCCTCAAAGGATAAACTGCTTTACATATATTGTGGAGATGCTGCATTAGGATATGCATATATTTCTGACCCATCCCACTTCTTAGCTTTATCTCCTAACTACTCCCTTAACCTCAAACTGCGCTAGCACAGAGTATGTTTACTCATTTTTTCTGCAATGTCACAAGTATTCTCCCATCTGTAACTATCCTTCCCTTTCTCTAGGGTGCCCCCACCTTTGCTCACATGGATCTACTCATTCTTCAAAGTCCCTCTTCCCCTTGGGGCTTTCCTGATGGCCCCGACTTCCTTTGACATGCAGGTCCACACTATGTTGTTGTTGTTGTTGTTGTTGTTTAATAGATATTGGGTCTCATGTTACCCAGGCTGGTCTTGAACTACTGGGCTCAAGTGATCCTCCTGCCTTGGCCTCCCAAAGTGCTGAGATTACAGGAGTGAGCCACTGTGCCCGGCCCACATACCACACTTTTAATACCAACCACATGTTGTCTGGGATTACTCACTCTCTTATATATCAAGTTGAAACATGAAATTGTCAACATAAAACTATTTTTGGCCTACAAGGACAGCAGTTATATACGGTTCAATTTATGTGTCTTCTTATCCCAAATACAATTCTTTGCATTCTTGTTTTCTCTTATAGCCTCTTCCATTGTGTAGGTGTTTGCTATTAAAAAGAGAGAGAGCTTGACTACTCTTAAATTGGCAAAATAGTAGATAAACTTCCATTTTAATCTGAAGAGGATCCTAGTCCATTAATACATTCACTTAGGATGATTTGACATGTTTGTGAGTCTCTGCAAAAACATCCTACTACAGCCTAAGATTTAAAAATAAAAACTTCCAGTACTAAGAGTTACGGCTATAGGCATATGTTTATAAATATTATAGAATTTTTAATACATTCTGTATTTCAAAAAGATTATTCATGGAATTTTAATCAACAAATTTTATATTCACTAGAATTATTTTGTATTTATTATATAATTAGGTGTACACCCCAGTTAGAACATTAGAATATTGCACTTTTTCTAATTACACTATACAGATTCCTCTGATCATCTCCTTTATTGTGGTCTTAATTCTATACATAATTACATTAATTACCATGAGAGAAATGAAGCTAGATAAGGAAAAACCTTGTGAGAAAGTATACATAGTTTTAAAGCTAAGAGACTTATAAGGTATCTGATATCAGGTGCAGGGCCCTACTGCTTTCCAAATTAAAACATTCCAAATAGCATGTTGATTATCGAACTGCTTTCAGTACTCTAAGGACAGAATACAATCATAACAATGGTCAAGCAGAGAACGGGGCAGCCTTTTACTTTGACTACATCCATATTGGTAGGCTCAGACTGCTGTGAGGAAACAAATCAGTATCTCATCACCTCCTTGCTCTAATTCTGTGTGGATAGATCAGAGAAACCCAGGTTTCTTTTTCAGTGATTCCACTTCTTAGAGACATATTTTCCTCCATTGAAGAGTCACATCTTTAGAAATTGACCCAAAATACATTTATGATATTTTATGAGACTTTCATTTATGTAAATCCAGAACACCTAAAGGACTTCATGAAGCCACATAAACATGTATTTTAGAGAAAAAATAGAATGAGCTTCATATGAGTTGATTTGAATTTGCCACTTGTCATTTATGAGACATTAAAAACAAACTCTATACGGTCATGACGAAGTGCAAAAATAAAATAAAAACTAACTCTATAACATGGTTCCTTTTTTTCTAATCTTGAGATTTCCATAGAGTGCTGTGGTATAATATCTTGATGAATACAGTCTATCTTAATGCCAAAACAATCGGAAGAGGTCAAATTTCCTCCATTGATGGTAGGTAGCCCACCTGAATCCCCAAGTTCTTTCACTGTCTTAAGATAGCCTCCAAGGATTTTTAAAATATGAGAGTTTTCTTCAGAGGTCTTCTTCCTTTATGTTCCCAAAAACACAGTCATCTTTAGCTATCTTAATCTTGCTTTTTCTTGATAGAAAACTAGAATAGTCTTTCTGCTGTGAAGTAAACAGAGAGGTCAGAAATGTAAATGAAAGGAAATCATTTCCATAACAATAACAAAGTCACAGAGGTTAAAATAGTACTGAAAGGGCAACAGAAAGATTATATTTGTATAAGCAATGGTTATTTTAAACAGTTTTATTCTGTAGAAGCTTTATTTTAGGTGACTGTAAAAACACTCGTTAGGGCTGAGAAGAGCGCCGCCTACTGGTTTGATGTGTCCTGAGCATCTTTTGGGGCCCTGTGATGTCACCCAGGTAACATTTAACTCTACCTGTCTTGCCTCTTTCCCCCTTAAAGCCATGCAACTTTCCATTTTTAACTTTGCCCAAAATCTTTAGTGCACATTCCACACAAACACAAACTTTAAAAAAGAGGTTGGGCGGCCGAGCACAGTGGTTCACGCCTGTAATCCCAGCACTTTGGGAGGCCAAGGCAGGCGGCAGGCGGATCATGAGGTCAGGAGATCAAGACCATCTTGGCCAACATGGTGAAACCCCGTCTCTACTAAAATACAAAAAAATTAGCTAGGCGTGGTGGCTGGCACCTGTGGTCCCAGCTACTCAGAAGGCTGAGGCAGGGGAATTGCTTGAACCCTGGAGGCAGAGGTTTCAGTGAGCCGAGATTGTGCCACTGCACTCCAGCCTGGTGACAGAGTGACACTCCGTCTCAAGAAAAAAAAAAAAAAGAGTCCTGGCACAGTGGCTCACTCCTGTAATCCCAGCACTTTGGGAGGCTGAGGCGGTGGATCACTTGAGGCCAGGAGTTCAAGGCTAGCCTGACCAACATGGTGAAACCCTGTCTCTACCAAAACTACAAAAACTAGCCGGACCTGGTGGTGTGCGCCTCTAATCCCACCTACTCAGGAGGCTGAGCTTGAACCTGGGAGGCAGAGGTTGCAGTGAGCCGAGATCACACCACCACACTCCAGCCTGGGCGAGAGAGTGAGACTCTGTCTCACTTAAAAATATATATATATATATATTACACTTAACACATTTTAGAGGTTAGGGTTACTGCAAATCTTTAATGAGTAATTTGCCTTCGGTACTTAAGAAATCTCAAAGACAGGGTTATGGAAAGCGGAAAGTGAAAAAAAGCTGCAGAGCCCCTCAATGGGCAGGTGGGCTACATTTTTTTTTTTTTTCTACGAGGGATTTGTTTTGATAGAGGGCCCTCACTCCCGAGTGGTTAAAGCAACAAACTAATTTTATTTGTTAAACAATGAATAAAGACTGCGTGGGTTCAAATACTGGCTCTGATGTTAACTGACTGTGTGACCTTGAGCAAGTGACTTAACCTTTCTGTGTTTCAGTTCTCTATGTGAATAACAACAGTGCTTTGGTTGTTTACTGGGATTAAAAGAGTTATACATAAAAAGTAGTTATAGCAGTTCATGGCTCGGGATAAGGTGTATATAAGGGTTTGCAAAATAAATTAAAACTCAATATAGTTGGACATTAGGTCTCTTTCTGACCTGCTGGTCCTAGTCACAGCATGAGGTAGTTGGCCTGCATTAGAGTTACCACTCATCTGAGAGGACAGCTGAACTGATCACAGTTGTGCTGAGTGTTATCTGTTGTTCTAGGACAGTGGCTCTCAAACTTGAACATGCATCAGGTTTGTCTGGTGGGCGTGTTAAAGAGATTGCTGCGGTCTTCCCCCAGAGCTGCTGATCCAGTAGGTTTGGGGCCTGAGAATTTGAATTTCTAATAAGAACCACGTGATACAGATGCTGTTGGTCCAGGGACCACACACTGAGAACTGGTGTTCTAGGATAATGGTTCCAAGTCTGGTTGTATAATAGGACCACTTGGGGAGCTTTTAAAAATTCCATTGCCCAGGCCCCTCAGACCAATTAATTCCCAATTTCTGAGGGTGGGACTCAAGTATTGGTTTTTAGAGGTCCCCAGGTGATTCCAATGTACAGCCAAAGTTGAGAACCACAGCTCCATGCTGTCGGCATGCTGCTAAAATGGGTGCATTAAAATGATGAAGTGATTACCATCTGCATCTTACAGATAAAGAAATGGAAGTGCGGTGCAGTTAGGTTTTGGATCTGCCTAACGACACATAGCCAGTAAGCAGTAGAGTTCCTATCTCCTCTCTCTATCCAACCAGCCAGAAATGCTGTGATTATGAAGGAAAATGCTTTGCATTTATGCTAGTTTATTTTTCCCTGACTATATTCATTTAAGAAAGGACTTTATATACTTACATATTTATAAATACTGTACATATACACTAAGGATGCTTACATACACACCAGTCTCTGTGAAGGTGCTGGAGCAATAAGAAATCCCATTCAAATGCTACTTAGAAGTCACTTTTCTTTCATTCATCTACACTAGGATTTGGACTTAGAAAGGAAGAGTTAGTAAGGGCACAGTTAGTTAAGGGCACAGTTCCAGGGTCAGACTGCCTGCTTCCTTCCATCATTGACGGCTGTGCAACCTTGGCAAGTCACATAACCTCTCTGCGCCCTAATTTCCTCAACTTATTTACAGGGCTGTGAGGAATGTGTTAATTCACATAAAAGTGCTTAGAATACTGCCTGGCAATAATGAGTGCTCAAAAATGCCATTGATTGTGATTTTTTTCTTTTATTATCTGCACAGCAGACCTAAATGCTCAAAAAAGTATTTTATAAACTTAAAAGTTACTTTATACAGAGTATACTGCAGAAAACCTATGAGACCAAAATATACTAGATATGTAACATATACAAACTAGAAAGAGAGTTGCCTCCAAAAAAATGCATGGGGTGTACAAAAAAAAATCACCAAGGAAATTTTGTGTTTCTCTTGGAAACTTTCTATGTAAAAATTCTTGGTAGTGCTATGGGGTGCTACAATAAAAATACTATATTTTTGTGATGGCCTTCCAATTGGCCCAATCTACATAGAGGAGCTTCTGAGAAACAGAATTCTGACTTAATATTGAAAGTGGGATGACTTTGGTTAAAGAGGAAGAAAGATCAGATTTATCAAAATTATAATATATCAATTACATAATTTTACTCACAGACCTGGCTTTGTTGAATGTGGTATTTTTTACTTTTGCTTTGTTCCGGAACTTCAATCTGCTAAATAGATTAGTGAAATGTCAGTCAGCTCCGCCCAGAGAAGCAAGCACACAAACAATCTATTTAACTAGCACACTTTCCCTTCCACGATAATCCTCTTAACATTCCCAAAGGCTGCCAGTCAACAGGTACACCTGCTTGTCATCTGTGCATTCCTCTTTCGTTTGTCAAGGTCTAAATGTTATAGAAATAAGAGTCCCAAAAAGTTTAGTAAAACTTAATGTTTCACATTAGTGGTTGCCTATGGATTTTGTGATTGAAGAAAGCTTTTAAAAGAACATCACACGAAATGAAATGTCCTTCTAAATCCTGAAATAATTCTTGGGGTTGCAATCCATATGCTGACTCAAAGCCCAGCAGGGCTTTGGTTAATCAAAAGGCACCATTAATCAAACGAAGAATCAAAGCGAAGTTCAAGACACTTGAATATACCTCATGTACATAAGGTAAACTCAATATACCAGCAGGAAACAGATGGTGCAATCTTGGGGTAATTGAGGAGTATGTTAGGAAGGAACCGTTTAACTATTTAATGGAGGTGTGGGCAGGATTACATTGAATCCATGAAGGGATATTGGGGCCCCCAGGGGCTAGCAATGAGGGGGATTTCCAGAAGATTCTTACCACCTCTAGGCCTGAAGGGGCGAGGGAGCAGCTGTGGCTGGAACCAGAGAGTAGCTGTAGCCATAAAGAGGAGAGATTGCCTGACGGGAGCTGTAGCCCTCAGTAGAGGGACATTCCAACCACAGAGACCCAGCAGGTTCCAACGTGGAGAAATAAACACCCACTGTCACTTTTCTCCCAGCCTCCAATCTCCTGCTGGGTTTCCCAATGAGTTATCCAGGGATGTCCAATCTTTTGGCTTTCCTGGACCACACTGGAAGAAGAGAATTGTCTTGGTCCCCACGTAACATAGCTAATGAGCTTTTTAAAAATCACAAAAAAACCTCAGTGTTTTAAGAAAGTTTATGAATTTGCATTAGGTCACATTCAGACCTGTCCTGGGCTGCATGCAGCCCACAGGCTGTGAGTTGGACAAGCTTGAGTTATCCCACTGAGGGTAAGGTTGCAGTACACAGTCTCTCAGGGCACAGAGCAGAGTGGGAGTGAATCTGGAAAGGCAGAGTGCCTGGCACACCTAGTAAACACCACCTAGCCAGGTTTTTTGGGGAAAGAGTACTTAGATTCTTCTTAATGGGAAAGAAGAGAACTGCTATTAAACAACTGTGCATTAGGTATGTAACTCAAACAGGGCACAGTATTTATTCACTCTACAATTGTCAACATCTCTGTACTAATTGCCTTTCTCCTCCAACATAGTAGTTCTTTGACCCTGGATTCTCAGGTTTAGCCATCATATGGTACACACAGGCATTCATAAATGACAGAATGAAAGAGTGAATTAATTGTTTATTATTGCTTACTTCTCATGAGAATGTAGACTGAGACATTTCAAAATAAGTAGGCTAAATAACATGACACTGCAAAAAAGCATTCTTTTAACTATGGTTAACTTTGTTGTAAAATCAATTGCTTTAAGGAGGTATGCATAAGACTTCCTTTAGGTTAGTATTCTTAATGGAAATGTTCACATATTCAAGCCTATTTCAATTATTTTATTTTATTTTGAGACAGAGTCTTGCCATGTTGCCCATGCTAGAATACAGTGGCACAATCTTGGCTCACTGCAACCTCCACCTCCTGGATTCAAACGATTCTCTTGCCTCAGCTTCCCAAGTAGCTGGGACTACAGGTACGCACCACCATGCCCATCTAACTTTTGTATTTTTGGTAGAGATGGGGTTTCACCATGTTGGCCAGGCTGGTCTCAAACTCCTGACCTCAAGTTATCCACCTGCCTCAGCCTCCCAAAGTGCTGGGATTACAGGTGCGAGTCACTGTGCCCAGCCTCAATATTTTTTTAAAAACTAGTTATTAAGTCTTGGTAAATGAGAAATTAACACTCTGATGTTTTATGTGTTTTGCTACTATTATTATTATTTTACAATGTTACCTTAGAGTTTGTAAAGAGTCTTGCAGCCATGAAATACAGAACTTGGAGGAAAATTCTCAGAATTTTCTCTCTTCTAGTTTCCTTCCCCTCCTGACCCCTATGTCAAAGTAAATAAAATAGAACCACTACAAATGTTAAGCAATTCCTGATATAATCAGCTTCCTTGACTTGTTGCAGTAAGACCTTCAATACTTTATATACTAGGGGGAACTAAAGCTGGGGAAACAAGCAAATCTTTTCTCATAATGCAGTATTCCCACACTTTCTTTTTAACCAATAGAATAGTTTCTGTTAATAACACAATCACTCATTTCTGCACAGTAATTTCCCCCTGATTCTCTAAAACTGTGTCCTCCTGCTATGCTCATACCATTATCCTGACTGCCATGCACAGTTTTTCCATTTTCTATATTGGACTAGCTCTTCAAAAGGCTAACATTCCTCAGATATCAGAGGCCACTGCCCTTGGTGTTTCGCCTCCTCACCATATAATAGAAACATTTTTTAAATTGCCAGTTGCCTTTTAAATAGTTTCACCTTGCCTAAAAGAAAAGAAGAATGGAGGGAAAAATACATCTGGTGATGGTAGTTGAGGATGGAGTGAGAGGTGAAAGGTAATCAGAAATCAGAAAGCTGTCTTGTTCTTTGCCATTTTTGAGGGAAACTAATTTTGAGATCAGATCTACTTTTAAGAAAATCAAAGGGAAAAATATACAAACTAGGTATATATTATTAGAAGTACAAATTGTTTCTTGCCAGGCATGGTAGCTCATACCTGTAATCCCAGCACTTCAGGAGGCCAAGACAGGCTGAGCTCAAGCTCAGGAGTTTGACACTAGCTTGGGCAACATAGTGAGACCCCTGTCTCTACCAAAAATACAAAATTAGCCAGGCATGGTGGTGTGTGACTATAGTACCAGCTACTTAGGAGACTGAGGTGGGGAGGATGGCTTTAACTTGGGAGGCGGAGGTTGCAGTGAGCTGAGATTGCACCCCTGCACTCGAGCCTGGAGACAGAGCCTGTCAGAAAAAAAAAAAAAAAAAGTCTTTTTAAGTCAGAAAATTATTCACCAGCATACTGCTGATGTGCATCTCATATATCCAGATTATGGTTCAATATGTAAAATAATAATAATGCACTTTCAGAAATTCCTTAGGAACACATCTATTGCATAAAATACATCAACTTTCATTTCTTGGTGTCTTTTGGAATTCTCTAAATGGCAGAGATTGTTGGTAGTTTACTCCATTATCCATTCTGCCCTTCTTCCTTAGTAATTACACCCAGTTTTATTTGAACAGACAACACACCCTGCTAAAAGTCTACATTTACCAGACTCCCTTGCAGCTAGGCGTCGGCCTGTGATATGACTATCTTCTGGCCAATGGTTGTAGGGGACATTCTGTGTGAGACTTCTGGAACTCCTCCTTGAAGAGAAGAAGTAAGCCCTGCTTCATATTTTCCTCATACTTGCTGCCTAGAATGTGGATGTAATGATGAGCGTTCTGGCAGCCATTTTGAGCATGAGGTGAAGGCCACACACAGAAGATGGCACAACAGAAAGGTTTGTGTTGATATTATGGAGCCACCATCCAGCCCTAGACTGCCTACCTCTGAACTTCTTTTAGATGAGAGAGAAACAAACTTTTATTGTGTCTAAGACACTTGTTTTGTCTTTTATTTTCTATTATATGCAGCAAAACCTAACTCTAACTAATATACTTTATTTTTAAATAAAGCACTCCTTTATAATTCTGCTCTAATTAAGAGCAGCAAATATTAAGGAAATTGATTCAAGCTTTTGTACAGGAGCATAGCTTTAAGAAGAATGTTACACTTTTTTTTTTCCTCTGGTTTATGGTTAATATTGCCTTTAAGGGCCAGGTACAGTGGCTCTTGTCTGTAATCTCAGCACTTTGGGAAGCCGAGGTGGGATGAGCTCAGGAGCTCGAGACCAGCCTGGGAAACATAGAGAGATCTTATCTCTACAAAAAAATAAATAAATAAAAATAAAAAATTAGCTGGGTGTGGTGGCATATGCCAGTGGTCCCAGCTACTTGGGAGGCCGAAGTAAGAGAATCACCTCAGTCTGGGAAGTTGAGGCTGCAGTGAGCCATGATTGCACCACTGCACTCCAGCCCGGGTGACAGAGCGTCCTGTCTTTAAAAAAATTGTATATATATGTGTGTGTATATATATATATAATTAATATATATGTGTGTGTGTGTATATATATTATTTATATACACACACACACACACACACATATATATATATACACACATATATAATTTAAGAACTTAATATATTTTTGTTGTGGCTGTATGTTTATATTATTCTTCAGTGCATTTTCTTGACCAAAATTTTAATAATGTCTTCATAAACAGAGCACAAGTTTTATCTTTGAAACATTACCTAAAGCTAACTAAGCTAAGTTAACAATACATTTCTTTTTTCCCTCATTTCTTCTTACTAGGATAAAACTAGCACTATTTAATCTGCTTCTGGGGACCATCTGCCTTATTTATGGGGCTCATTTGATTACAGTTCTCTTCCCTGCTTCAGATTCTTTAAGATGATCAAAATCTTGAACTCAGAACCTGCCCTGAAAAATACAGACTCTGTGTCCTAGTCCATACAAGCCTTCTACAAGTGCTATGTGTCAGTTTTGACTTGGTGTGTTTCCCTGGAAAACAAGGGAATGTCACCATGGTACATTTATATGGTTTCCTTGAGCCACAGAATGACTTCAGTCGACTGTACTTGTGAGGGCGCCCAGAACTCAGGAAGAGTTCAAACACCGAACTGTCTGTTCTCTCTACCTTCCAGGTTCCATTCTACCCAGAGCTTCGTAAATAAAATTCAAGATTAAAATGCAAACTATCCTTACAAAATCCTCTTGGAAACCCAATTTTCAAAATGAAAGGTCTGAACTTTTCATTCCAAGAGCCAAAATAAGTAAAAAAATAAAGAGTTTCCAGAAATAAAACGTGTTAAATATTTAGATAAAGCAATACAAGGGTACTGACTAATGTGCTGATTTTGCTAACCTCAGAGATAAATTAGGGATTTCAACTCATGTGCAAACTTAAGGAATATACTGTGGTTGTTTTTCTTGAAAACTTTAAATGGATTACTACTTTCTCCATTTTACTGAGTTAACTCTAGCTACTCATTGTACAAGTATTTCCTGAATCAAGTAGCTTACATTTTATTCATCCACATTTGAGAGCACTTCTCCCTTTTAATGAGGCTACTTCAGTTAATTACTTTTTTCTTTCTTCTTTTTTATACCTACAATAATCTCAGCCTAAGAGGGTCCATCCTGCCTGAGAGGTTGGATTTTATTATACTACTGTTTTAAAAAGAGTTTCCTTGATTCTTTTATTGCTTTCATTTACTACTCTCTAGTACATTTTGAATTGTTCGATCAACAAGAGGCAGTGAATTTATTTTCCTTGGAAAAGGTACGTTCAGTTCTAGAAGAAAGAGAAATAATTACAAAACACAACTATTTTCTTAGAAAAAAGCTGGAAAGTAAAGATCAATGTTAACTAAAGATGTTATCCACCCTCTTAGACTAAATTTAAATGAAAACATTAGAAAAGTTTGCCAGCCGGACGCGGTGACTCATGCCTGTAGTCCCAGCACTTTGGGAGGCTGAGATGGGTGAATCATGAGGTCAGGAGATCGAGACCATCCTGGCTAACAAGGTGAAGCCCCGTCTCTACTAAAAAAAAAAATACAAAAAATTAGCCAGGAGTGGTGGAGGGCGCCTGTAGTCCCAGCTACTCAGGAGGCTGAGGCAGGAGAATGGCGTGACCCCAGGAGGCAGAGCTTGCAGTGACCAGAGATTGTGCCACTGCACTCACTCCAGCCTGGGCGACAGAGACTCTGTCTCAAAAAAAAAAAAAAGAAAGAAAAAGAAAAAAAGAAAAATTTCCCAATATTTTCTATTATATTTTTAAAAATTAATGTAATATTCTACAAAAGAATTAAGTTTATGAATGTCAACCAGGCATTGGTATTTCTTTCTTTCTTTCTTTTTTATTTTTTTAAGATGGAGTCTCACTCTGTCGCCCAGGCTGGAATGTAATGGTGTCACCTTGGCTCACTGCAACCTCTGTCTTCTGGGATCAAGCAATTCTCCTGCCTCAGCCTCCCCAGTAGCTGGGACTACAGGTGCACACCACCAAGCCCAACTAATTTTGTATATTTAGTGGAGACGGGGGTTCACCATGTTGGCCAGGCTGGTCTCGAACTCCTGACCTCAAGTGATCCCCCCACTTTGGCCTCCTGAAGTGCTGGGATTACAGGCATGAGCCACTATGCCTGGCCCCAGGCATTGGTATTTCTAATCATTTAAAAAAAAAATTGTACTGTCTTGTTTGGGACATACTTGTATCATGATGATGACTAGGCAATTAAAACAGTTTAAAATCTAATTTTTTCACAGCCTTCTCACCAATCTTTTTGATGAGTTACTAGGCCTTTAATAAATAAATGTACACTAGAACAATAAAGTTTAATTTTATATTGAGGGAAAAAAAATAGCCTTGAGAGTTTATTTTACTCCTCCCAACTGTTAAAGGCATTTTCATTTGGCACAATGGAATTATCAAGAAGCTATGGATTCTTTCTAGAGACAAACTTATAATAAGATCATCCCCATTGTGTTAAAGACCCCCTCAAGACCCTGACTTGAAGATGTAGCTTCTATAATAAATCTGAAAGCCTCCATGTCAGAGAAGGCTGAAATAAAACAATACAAAGTTGAGGGTTAGAATTCTCAGTAACCCAAAGATGACTTCTCATTGGAAAAATGACTTTAATTCTAAAGACAGGCTTCCTTCTGCCCTGCCATCCTGAGCACTGAGCTACCAGTGGGAAGAGGAGCTCACTTCTGTGGTTTGGAGTCCTCCCTTTAGGACCAGACCTGCTGGCCCGGAGAGCTCATAAGTGTAGACTGGTCTCCAACTGTTGGCTGATGATGGGAACGTAAAGTGAAAAATATACACAGATGAGAGCACTCACCATTTCTGGATTCTTAGCAGCTAGCTTTACCATCTTTTCTGAGATCATCTTTTTCAAGCAGCTACTCAGCAAAAAAGCCTAAGAAATGCAGGAATAAAGAACTCTTGTAACTGAAGAAATCTTCACTCTCTTTCTTCCCTCCTCACACCACAAGGCAGATTTTGAGCTCTGCCCTCCAATAACACACATTCAAGAATTTAGATTTCTTCGTTAACTTCCAGAAGTTTTAAGATCCAGTTAGGAAGTAACTATAAATTTTCTCAATTATGTGGATATATTTACAGCAAATTTTTTAAAGAAATGAAAAATGTCCAAGATCTCACTATTAATATTTTTCCTCTTAAAACTCACCCCCTTGCATCCCATGTTTTCTATTATTTTGTAAGCAGGTCATGTTTTTTGAGCAACAAACAATAAAAATGAATTATTATTATAATGAGATGAACTGATGATGGTCAATCCTATATTTAATTCTAGACATTGTATACATAATTATTGAGAGACCTCTACTGAGCATAAATAGTAACTGGTTTGTTTGAAAGAACATATTAGCAACTTATTGCTTTTACTAAACTGAAAAAAAAGGTTAGCTGTTATTCTTCACTTCATTTTCTTCTTTTTCTTTTTCTTTCTTTTTTTTTTTTTTTTTTCTGAGACAGAGTCTTGCTCTGTCACCCAGGCTGGAGTGCTGTGGCTGCGATCTCGGCTCACTGCAGCCCCCGACTCCTGGGTTCAAGCGATTCTCCCACCTCAGCCCGCCACCATGCCCAGCTAATTTTTTTGTATTTTTAGTAGAGACAGGGTTTCACCATGTTGGCCAGACTGGTCTCGAACTCCTGACCTCAAGTGATCCACCCGCCTCGGCCTCCCAAAGTGCTGGGATTACAGGGGTGAGCCACTGTGTCCGGCCTACTTTCTTATTTTTCTAGTATCTTTAATCACTCATGTTCTAGACTGATGGTCACCTCCACTATCCTTCATGGCTTAATCATCATTGGTGCCAAGACACTCACAGTTGTACATCTTGCTACACAAAAGCTGGGCTTCCTTATTCCAGGCTTTGCACTACTGTGAGCAAAACTGAAGGTTCCCTATGATTTTCCCATTTGCTCCTTTCCCACTAATCCTTTTTCTCTCTTGTCCTGCTCTTGATTCTTGGCTTGCTGTTTTCTCCGTTGGCCCTACTAAGGTTTGGGAAAACTGTCAATGAATGTTGAGGCTATAAGACCTTAGCACAGTGTTGTGTTCAGGGATGGTCACTGTGTTGGAGGGGAGGATGGAAAGGAGAAGGGAGGAGACAGTGAGAGAAAGTACAGTCTGGGGTGGTAGCCAAGTAGAAAGTTCTTGGAGGGGACAACACGGAAAGCAGAATTAGAGGGAAAATGGGCTACATACAGCTCTCAGTGTCTTGCAAGGGTGTAGAGCATGATAGGAATTAATTTTATTTAAAAGGGGAAAAGAGGGAAGAAGAAGAAAGGACTGACATCAATTTTTAAAAGAATTAACAGATGTGGCATTTGTGCAAACATTTTGACTTCCTAGTTTTGCTAATAACTAGCCCTGTTTATATGTTCATATATGTAACCTATGCAAAACCAGATAATAAAATAAACAACAAAATCCTGAGCAAATGCACCTAGGTAGGATGTTTAATAGTGTCAGACCAATTCCATATTGCTATACAATGTACACAAGTACGTAGGCCAGGACTCTGCTATAAACCGTCAGGTTTGTTAAATATGAAAAGATTGAAAATGAATAAAAAATTTTAAAAAGACAAAGTAATAGGATTGAGTTGTTGTGGTTTTTGTGTTTTTTGTTTTTTTTTGTTTTTTTTTTTTTTGAGACTCAGTCTTGCTCTGTCACCCAGGCTGGACAGGCTGGAGCACAGTGGTGTAATCTTGGCTCACTGCAACCTTCGCCTCCCAGGTTCATGGGATTCTCCTGCCTTAACCTCCCGAGTAGCTGGGATTACAGGTGCCTGCCACCATGCCCGGATAATTTTTGTTCTTTTAGTAGAGATGGTGTTTCACCATATTGACCAGGCTGGTCTCGAGCTCCTGACTTCAAGCAACCTGCCTGCCTTGGCCTCCCCAAGTGCTGGGATTACAGGATGAACCACCGCTTCTGGCCAAGGATTCAGATTTCATTTAAAAGGTCTCAAAAAGATTTGGGCCCAAGCCCTCATTTGTATTTGCAAAGCACACAAGTCACATTTCCAATTTTGCAAAACTAGCCCTTGAGTATGTACAACTATTATATATCCATAAAAATTATAACTTCTTAAAAAGTAGCCCTTGGATGTACATCAATAAAACTCACACTCCAGGGGAAATAAGACCTTACTAGGAATCCTTTGAAAGAATGTTTATTGCACCTCTTTATGGTGGTTTAAACTCATTTGCTACTGACTAGATTTAAAAATCATAGTAAAATTTAACCACACTTAGCATTCTGAGGTTGGGAGGTAGTTTTACTACCCAAATCTCTCTGTGTCTCTCCAAGTGACTGACAATCTTGCCTCAGCAAACCAGTCTACCATTTCCCTAAAGATGTTTCATATTTAAGGTGAACCTAAGGACCCACTGCTTTAACCTAGAATTTCGGTTTAGTACTTCATGTTTTCAGAGGACTTTGATATAATGACTCAACTATACTAGAAGTAAAGAGTCGAAAGGGGCCTTGGTTTCTGAACCAGAATGTTCCATGGAACTTAGCCTGATCACCAGAGACTCAGGTTGAATATGACATTGATGCAAAGAGTACTTTACTATTTTGATTCCATTTCAGAACATCTACAATTTTGGTTCCGATTTGAAATGACTTAATTTAGTAAAAAGGACTTTTCAATTGGATTTGGTGTTTAGATGTTCTCTTTTTTAGCATTTCTACTCCAATTTTAGTTAAAAACCTATGGTAGACATGGATAGTTGGCTACCCAACAGCCATTGCCCCTTCTTTCCTAAGAGATCCTGATTTTGTTTGGGACAATAACGTGCTCAGCCCCTGGCAATGGTTCATGCTTACTCTAAGTCAATCATAAAGCCTGTTTCTCTTTGCTAGATGCTTGGTTCCCAGACTCCCTTGCAGCTAGGAGTGGTCATAGGATCCAGTTCTGGCCATTGAAACACAATAGGAAGTCTACTGGAGGTTTCTGGGGTAAAACTTTTGCTTTCCAGATAAGAGAGATATGGGTTGAGCATCCCTAATCCAAAAGTCCAAAATGTGAAACTTTTTGAGCCACTTACATGATGCCACAAGTGGGAAATTCCACACCTGACCTCCTGTGACTAGTAACAGTCAAAATCCAGGTGTACAGCACAGATTCTGTTACTGTTGTTTCACAGGTTTCACAGCTGATACAGGTATTCTGGTGGTGCTATTGTGCTGATTAGCTACCCTGAACACATAATTCTTCACTGTATTAATGTATGTCATATTTTCTACTGTCGATTATTCACATGGGAATAAGTATAAGAAATGGATTGCTTATCAGTAGCATATAAATTCAGAGTCGGGAATGATGGTGATGCCCAACAACAACCACAGATGGTCCACATGGGTGGCTGAGGTAGTGACGCCTTTGCTTTCTGATGGTTCAATGTCCACAAACTTTGTTCCATGCACAAATTTATTTAAAACATCATATAAAATTACCTTCAGGCTGTGTGTTTAAGGTGTATATGAAATATAATTGAATCATGTTTAGACTTGGGTCCCATCCTCAAGATATCTCATTATATACAGTTATACATCACTTAATGATGATGGGGGTAAGTTCTGAGAAATGCATCATTAGACAAGTTTGTCATTGTGCAAACAACATAGAGTGTAGTTACATAAACCTAGATCGTAGAGCCTGCTATATACCTAAGCTAGATGATAGAGCCTCCCTAGACTATAAACCTGTTCAGTGTGCTACTGTACTGAATAAATACTGAGGCAATTGTAACACAGTGATAAGTATGTGTATCACTTAAACATTGAAAAGGTACTGCAGGAAAAAGGTGAAACATTAAAAAAAAAAATAAAAAAGGTACAGTAAAAATACTATATTATAATCTTATGGGACCACTGCCATATATACACACTGTCATTGACCAAAAAGTTATGTACTACATGAATGTATATGCAAATATTTCAAGATAAAAAAAAAAATCTGCAGTTGGAAACAATTCTGGTCCTAAGCATTTGGGATAAGGGCTACTCAACCGGTGGCTTTTTATCTGCTTGGAAAAGGTCAAAAGAATAATATCATCTACCTTCAGTATTCTTATTAACTGAGATCATAAAAATCTATATTGCCTAAGTCAGGAGTTGGCAAACAAGGCCAGATCACTCTCTGTTTCTATAAATAAAGTTTTATTGGAACATAACCAGACCCACTTGTTTATCTACTGTCTATGGCTGCTTTTAACAGAGTTGAGCAGTTGCAACAGAGACTGTATGGATCTCAAATCCTAAAATATTTACTATCTGGTCCTTTAAGAAAAAGTCTATGGACTCCTGCTCTAAGCCACTGTTGGTTGAATCTTCTATCACTTGTTAACTAAATTCATTTCTAACTGACACAAAGGCCATGGTGACTAGTAAAATAAAACAAAACCTAAAACAAAATAAAAGGTATTACAGTCCAAACGAGAGTACATAGAATACTCTAGTGTCCTGCTCTAGTTGGGTTAGGGTCATGTGCTTCGTCCACCCCAGCAAGCAAGACAGCATTTCAGCACAGAGGGTATTCAAGGTCTGCCCTGAGAACTCACCTGTTTGGTGTAAATAACAAACCACTGCCAGCAACTATCCTCACTGTATTGAAATCTGAGCTCTAAGTTCTGGTTGAAAGTTCTCTGGGGCCCATCCATATCCAGCAGAGTTCCCTACAAAGGAAAATATTTTATATTCAATGTAAATTTAAATACCCATTAATTGGTCAGATGTAGTGGCTAACACCTGTAATCCCAGCTGAGGCAGGCAGATTGCCTGAGGTCAGGAGTTCGAGACCAGCCTGGCCAACATGGTGAAACCCCATCTCTACTAAAAATACAAAAATTGGCCAGGCATGGTGGCAGGTGCCTGTAATCCCAGCTACTCGGGAGGCTGAGGCAGGAGAATCACTTGAACTAGGGAGGCGGAGTTTGCGGTGAGCCAAGATCACGCCATTGCATTCCAGCCTGGGTGAAAAAAAAAAAAAAAAAAAGCTCATTAATGTGTTGGGCAAAATATCAAAATGAGGGAGACTGTCCCTATTTCCAAGAAGGTATCAGTCTATGGAGGAGCCATGAAAGTAAATCACCACAGTTTGATAAGTTAATAGTTAAGTGTTAGGAAGGAAACACAGGTCTATGGAAGTAAATAGGAGGGGCACCTAACCCAGGCTAGGAGGGCAAAGGAAGGCTCCCTGGAAGGTCCATCTGAGCAGAGGTAGAAACTACCCAAGTTTGTTGTGGTGGTTTTATTTTGGTGGTGTGTAGGGGAGGTGAGAAGTGATTTTTGAAAGAGGAAATACTATAGTGAGTGCAAATGTCCTGAGGCATATTGGAGACACTGAAAGGGACCATGCATGTCACTGCAGCACAGGCTCCAAGGCATGGTGGGTGATATGAGAAGAGGCCTAGGACCAGATCCTGAAAGCCTGGTAGGCAACATCTGTGATTTTTGCTTTGCAACATCCATCATTCTTTTTCCTAGTAATGGAGTCTCAAATACCCTTGGGAAAACCATCCCTCTTCCACTGTTGGCTATCTATGTAGGACTGTCAGGGAATGAAAAGTCAGAGGGCGGCATATGACCCAATTTCAGGCCAACTGGACAAGTAATTCTCTCTGCTTCTCATGTTATTTCAGTCAGACAGACCCAAATCGTAGGTGCTGATAGAGTTCCTATTTCTTAGAAAGCTTGAGCTCCTTTGGTTCTTAACTTTCTAAAACCTCTGCATCAGTTTTTCCTTTGAATCTGTAGGTTACTCCATATCCTTCCAACACATCCCGTTTTCCACTAGAGTCCAATGTGTTGGTTTCTATTGCTTGCCACCAAAGAGCCTTAACTCTTACAGGTTCTATAAGCTAAGAATCCCTTCCTGCAGATCATATGCAGTACAGAAAAAAGAAATAGGGAAAGAAAAAAGATATTTTTCCCCCAGGGGGCAACAGACATTATCCCAAGGGCGACAGCTTTTCCTTAAGAGGTTTTAGCCAGGTATGGTAGCTCATGCCTGTAATCCCAGCACTTTGGGAGGCTGAGGCAAGAGAATTTCTTGAGCCAGGAGTTCAAAACCAGCCTGGGCACCATAGCAAGACCTTGTCTCCAAAAACAGGAATTATATTTATATTTTAGAAATATTGGTCTGGCAGCATCAGTTAAAACATGAATTGGAGGCTGGGTGCAGCGGTTCATGCCTGTAATTCCAACAATTTGGGAGGCTGAGGCAGGCAGATCACTTGAGGTCAGGAGTTTGAGACCAGCCTGGCCAACATGGTGACACCCCATCTCTACTAAAAACACACCAAAAATTAGCTGGGTGTGGTGTCTGGTGCCTGTAATCCCAGCTACTCAGGAGGCTGAGGCAGGATAATCGCTTGATCCTGGGAGGTGAAGGTTGCAGTGAGCTGAGATTGTGCCACTGCACTCCAGCCTGGGCAACAGAGTAAGACTCCATCTCCAAAACAACAACAACAACAACAACAACAAAAACATGAATTGGAAAACAGCTGTTTTCAGACACTGAACAACAGATAATGCAGCACTGGTAACCCAGAGAGAAGGAAAACCAAATGAAGTGAGCCCATAAGTATCCCAGCTTACTACCTGAAGGGGTTTCCAGGATATAACACAAAGACAGGGAACCCAAACAGAGCCCAGGGGTCTCAGTGGGTGGAGGAGAAAGGGTAAAAGTTTCAAGAAGTTGAGATTGGAATTTTTGGTGCAGAATACCAAAGACTAGGGCTTTAAACACAGCGAGAGCTCTAGAGAGGTTTTGACAGATCTTTGGCTGAATAATGATCTGTGTGTGTATAGAGTAAACCTACACGAGGCTGGGGAAAGAACATCTGGAAAGCAGTAGGTTGGAAATTGCAGAAGCTCACAAACAAGGATGGAAAGAGTTCATGTTCCCATCAGCCAGAGCAGAGAGACAATAGACAAGATGTCAGGTAGAGTCTTAAGAATGGTAGCTAAGGCATAAAGGGCTAAATTAGCCCTAAAGACTGCTCTGCAACTTCATTAAGGCAGGCGGGCATCTGTAGTCCCAGCTACTCGGGAGGCTGAGGCAGGACAATGGCCTGAATCCGGGAGGCAGAGCTTGCAGTGAGCAGAGATCGCACCACTGCACTCCAGCCTAAGCGACAAGAGCGAGACTCCATCTCAAAAAAATAAATAAATAAAAAATAAAAAAAGAAAAGAAAGTTTAAAAGCAAGCATCAAAAAAGTAAAACTGGCCAGGCATGGGGGCTCATGCCTGTAATCCCAGCACTTTGGGAAGGTGAAGTAGATGACTGCTTGAGGCCAGGAGTTCAAGATCAGCGTGGGAAACATAGCAAGACCCTGTTTCTGCAAAAAATGAAAATTAGCGGGGCATAGGCACATGCTTGTAGTCCCAGCTACTTGGGAGGCTGAGGCAGGAGGATCTCTTGAGCCCACGGGGTTAAGGCTGCAGTAAGCCATAATTGTGCCACTGCACTCCAGCCTGGGTAAGAGAGTGAGACCCTATCTCTTTAAAAAGAAAAAAAAAAAAAGTAAAACCAATCCTAAGTAATTTAACTGCACGCCAGAATAACATCTAATATTCTTTAAAGGAATTCAGTAAAATGCGACATTCAACAATGTAAAATTCACAATGTTTAGCATACCACAAAAAATTACCTGGCATGCATAGGAGGAGGAAGATATGATCTGCAAACAGTAGAAAAATCAATCAATGGTGCATACTCAGTGTCAGGTGATAAAAACAAGCAAAAAGAAAAAAGAAAAAAGTATCGATCAGTAGAAGTAGATCCGGAAATGACAGAGATGATGGAAATAGTAGCAAAAATATTGAAACTGCTATTTAAAGTATGTTCCATACACTCAGGAATTTGGAGAAAAATAGAAGTATGATAAGGAGAGAAATGAAAGATGTAAAAAAGACCTAAACAGAACTTCTAGAGATGGAAAATACAACACTAGAAGTATAAATGCACTGGATGGGATAAATAGCAATGTTAGACATTACAGAAGAAAATAGCAATAATCTTAAAGCTATAGCAATAGAAACAACCCCAAATAAAGCAGAGAGAGAAAAAATACTAAGATAAATAAAATCACAATGGGATACCATGTCACATCTATCTACTAGGTTGGCTATAATAAAAAATTGATAACAAGTACTGGCAAGGATGGGGAGAAATCAAAACCCTCCACTGCTAGTGGGGATATAAAATGGTGCAGCCACTTTGGAAAGTAGGCTGGCAGTTCCTCAAAAAGTTAAACACAGAATATCATTTGACCCAATGATAATTCTACTCCTAGGTATATACCCAAGAGACATAAAAACATACGTCTACACAAAAGCTTGTGCACAAATGTTCATAGCAGCATAAACCATGACAGCCAAAATATAGAAGCAACCCAAAAGTCTATCAATGGACGAATGGGTAGAATATGCTATAACCATAAAGTGGACTATTATTTGGCCATAAAAAATAATAAAGTACTGATGATACATGCTACAAGAATGAACCGGGAAACATGCTAAGTAAAAAGCTAGTCACAAGCATCACATGTCATATGATTCCATTAATATAAAATATCCAGAATAGGCAAATCTATTCTATAGAGACAGAAAGTAGATTAGTGGTTTTTTAGGGCTGGGGGGACAGGAAGGTGACAACTAAAGGGTATGGGGCTTCTTTTTCAGGCGATAAAGTGTTCTAAAATTGATTGTGGTGATGGCTGCACAACTCTGTGAATATACTAAATACCATACCATTGAATCGTATACTTTATATGGGTGAATTGTATGGTATGTGAATTATATCTCAATAAAGCTGTTACAAAGAAAGACATGTGTGATATTGGTGGGGGAATACACACATAGATCAGCCAAACAGAACAGAGAACCTAGAAACAGACCCATACAAACATGTCCGACTGATTTTTGACAAAGGTGTGAAAATAACTCAATTGAGGACAGACAGTCATTTCAACAAATGGTACTGGAGCAACTGGATCTCCAGAAGCAAACAAACAAACAAACAAAAGGTTGGGGATGGGGGAATAACCATCTTATTTTTATTTTATTTTATTTTATTTTATTTTATTTTATTTTATTTTAAGACAGGGTCTTGCTCTGTCTCCCAGATTGGAGTGCAATGGCGTAATCTCAGCTCACTGCAACCTCCCCCTCCCGGACTCAAGGGATTCTCCTACCTCAGCCTCCCAAGTAGCTGGGATTACAGGTGTACACCACCACAGCCCACTCATTTTTGTAGTTTTAGTAGAGACAGGGTTTCTCCATGTTGGCCAGGCTGCTCTCAGACTCCTGACCTCAAGCAATCTGCCCGCCTTGGCCCTCCAAAGCACTGGAATTATAGGCATGAGCCACTGCGCCTGGTCTGATAACCTTATCCTAAGTCTCATCCTCCATACAAAAATTAACTGAAAATAGATCATGAACTTACATGTAAAACCCCTAACTGTAAAACTTTAAGGAAAAAAAATAGAAAAACTTCAGCATCTATAACAGGATTTATCAAAGAGTTCTTGGACTTGACAGTAAAAGCACAATCCAAAGAAGGAAAACTGATGAATCAGATTTAATCAAAATTAAAAATTTTTGCTCTGCAAAAGACCTTGTTTAAGAGGATGAAAAACTATAGAGTGGGCCAGGTGTGGTGGCTCACACCTGTAATCCCAGAACTTTGGGAGGCCGAGATGAGCAGATTGTTTGAGGTCAGGAGTTTGAGGCCAGCCAAGACAACATGGTGAAACCCCAGCTCTACTAAAAATACAAAATATTAGCCGGGCCTGGTGGCGCATGCCTGTATTCCCAGCTACTCGGGAGGCTGAGGCAGGAGAATCCCTTGAACCTGGGAGGCAGAGGCTGCAGTGAGCTGAGATTGCACCACTGCACTCCAGCCTGGGTGACAGAGTGAGACTCTGTCTCAAAACAAAAACAAACAAACAAACAAAAAAACCCGAAACTATAGAGTAAGAGAAAATATTTGGAAACCAGATGGCCAACAAAGAACACGTATCTAGAATCCATAAATAACTCTCAAAACTCAACAGGAAAAGCCAAACAATCCAATTCAAAAATGGGTAAAATATATGAGAAGACATTTTACCAAAGAAGATATGCAGATGGCAAATAAACACATGAAGATATTCAGCATCATAACCCATTGGGAAATGCAAACTTAAGTCACAATGAAATACCTTTACACATATATTAGAATGACTACAATAAAAAAAAAAATAGTGACAACACCAAATGCTGGTGAGAATGCAGAAAACTGGCTCACTCGTACATTCCTGGTGGGAATGTAAAATGATATAGCCATTCTCAAAAACAGTTTGGCAGTTTCTTTAAAAAGTAAACATGCAATTACTATATGACCCAGCAATTGTACTCCTCGGCATTTATTCCAGGAAAATGAAGACTCATGGTCAAACACACACCTGTATGTGAAGGTTTATAGCAGCTCTATTCATAATAGCTAAAAACTAGAAACAACCAGAGGTTCTTCAATGAGTAAATGGTGAAGCAAACTTTGGAACAACCAGACCATGGACTGCTGCTCAACAAGAAAAAGAGACAAACTACTGATACAGTCAGCAACTGGATGGACTTCCAACAAGTTATGCAGAGCAAAAACGAGCCAATCTCTAAGGCAATTGATATTTATAGAATGTTCTACCCAAAATGGAAGGCACATTCTTTTAAAATACATGTGAAACATTTATCAAGATAGATCAGAGCTGGGGCCACAACACATGTTTCTGTATGTTTCAAAGGGCTAAGATCATACAAAATATTTTCTCTGACCTCCAGGAGGAAACAGTGGTATAGGGAGAAGGGTTAGGAAACTGTTCAATCCATCCACACAGGGCATGTTGAGACCAAGCTGTGAGTGCGGAGATAGAGGGAAATTTTTTTTTGTCTTTTTATTTTTTTATTTTTATTTTTTTGAGACAGGGTTTCACTGTTGCCCAGGTTGGAGTGCAGTGGCATAATCTCAGCTCACTGCAGCCTCTACCTCCCGTGCTCAATGGATTCTCCCACCTCAGCCTCCCCAGTAGCTGGGACCACAGGTGCACACCACCATGCCTGGCTTATTTTTGTATTAGTTTGTAGAGATGGGATTTTGCCATGTTGCCCAGGCTGGTAAGGGAGACTTTTGAGGGACAGCAAAGTATAGAATGGATAGGCCTCCATTAGCACTTAAATGTGTAGGGTCAGAGAGAGAGAAAAGTCAGAGATAATTTCAAGATTTCTGGTTTGGCAGTTAGGGTGTGGTAGTGGAAATTCCCTTGACCAAGATAGGGAACACAGGCAGAAGAACCCCATGAAAGGCATGAGGAGGAAAGGACACATCTGCTTTGGGTAAAGGCTGAGTTTGAGATGTCTGTGAGACACCTGGTTGAAGGCATCCGGAGGTAGGAAAAACTGGGCCTTTGAGAAGGATCTGGGCGATTGATTTCATAGAATATGTAGAGGAATTATGCTAGAATGCAATGCCAGAAACACCAGCATTTCAGGAATGCTCAGAGGGAGAAGTGGCCCACAAAAGTAGGGGAGAAAGGAGATTTTTGAGAAGGAAGAAATGGTTGACAGTATCGAATGCCACAGAGAGGTCAAGTATGAGCCCAGCTGAAAAATTCCCAGGGATTCCATGGATTTAACAAGTGGGTGTCATGCTCTGATAACTTTTATCCTCTATTAGTTAACCTCAGCTTCCTGTGTAGAGAGGATAACACCACTTAGCTCACTGGGGTCTTATGGGCTGAATTACATAATAGATGAGACAGTGCAGCACAGTCCCTGGTAAAAAGTGGGCACTCAATAAATCTGATAAGGGTTTCTCTTGAGAGGAGCTGGCAATGCAAGCATGATGCCAAGGTGTTGTAAGAAAAACTCTGCCAGTCGGTGCCAGTCTTGAAGGGTAGAGACCTTGTCAGCACTGAGCCCGTAGTAAGTGCTCAATAAATGATAGCTGTTATTGCCATCTGCTGTTATTACTACAGCCACCCTTCAAGCAGTAGGGAGGCCTGCTGTTGGAAGGTGGAAAGATCGATGTTTCTGATTCCCTGGGTGGGGAACCTGCATCAGACTACAGATAGGTTTTACCACTAGGTGATATTTAATGTGGCTTAGATGTCACTCCACTCAAGGTACAGATTCAAATGGTAAACCTGTCTCCCTAGTGTCAACTTTGTCATCAAGTGTACTAGGATTTTTAAGTCATGGGCAAAGCAAGGTGCCAAGATACTCACAAGGAAAGTGACCTGCCAGCACTTCACCCTGCTCATCTGGAAAATGACATCCTGGGTCTGGCTGTCAGGCAGGGTGATGCAGCAGCTGATCTCGTTATTGCCGACAGAAAGAACAGCTCCAGAGCCTGGTTCTGGGTAGTCACAGGTACAAGGATCCAGCTGCAGGTATCCATAGTGCTGTACCTCCCGGGCCAGCTCCAAAAACTGCTCCAAAGAGGGTGATGGGTGGGAGGGAAACAAGAAGAAGCAAAAGACCACTTGAAACAGATGAAAACCTCATGTCAGAAGCTACTGCCATTCTAGGAGAATACATGGAACTAAGTCACAGTGAAAGCACCTTTTCTTCTTGGTCATACAAATGGAGATAATGCCCCTGGTGCTCACCAGAAGCCTGGGGGAAATTCCTGGAGTGTCCTTCCAGGGAAGGGACCATTCCTGCCTCTTTCACCATTGTGTCCCTGCCCCTGTTATGGTGCTTGGTACACAGTGGAAATGAAAATATTCCATGAGTAAATGAAGAATGAAGAAAAGAGTCCATAAAATGGATGAAGGATATGATTCTGTCTCAGCAGATTATAATAGCAAGTAAACAAAAAAGTGTACGTTGGCTTTAAAAAACACAAAAAAAAAACAAAAAAAAAACAAAAAAAAACCGAAGTCTCACTCTATCACCCAGGCTGGAGTGCTGCGGTGCAATCTCAGCTTACTGCGACCTCCGACTCCCTGGTTCACACATTTCTCCTGCCTCAGCCTCCCAAGTAGCTGGGATTACAGGCAAGTGCCACCATGCCCGGCTAATTTTTGTATTTTTAGTGGAGACAGGGTTTCACCATGTTGGCCAGGATGGTCTCGACCTCCTGATCTCGGCGTGATCCGCCTGCCTCGGATCCCAAAGTGCTGGGATTACAGACGTGAGCCACTGTGCCTGGCCTAAAATATTGGCTTTTAAAAAGTTAAGCTGAGATCTATGTAGGAAGAAAAGTAGTTCATTTCTACAGGCTGCTTTATATGATGATGTTACTAATTGCCAGAGACAGAGATTTTAGAAATGGCAATGAGGGCACGAGCTGGTCTGCTTTCTAAATAGAATTCCAGAGAGTCCCCAGTTGCCAAAGGAACACTTTTATGTGACTTTTAAAATTTAACTTTTCCCTCTGTTTCTGAAGTGACATAAGAACTGAGGACAGTTGCAGTCACACCACTGATCAAGGCATCCTGTCTCATTAACATCTGTCCAGGGCTTTTCATTTTATTAATGATTGCATTTAAATAAGCTGGTATGGGTTTGGTGACTTCCACTCTGTTCTTCCAGCTTCCGCCATGGGCCTGGCCTAGTGGTATGTGAGATGTGCATGCAGAGAACAGTTCCCACTTTAGCACATGGCTAAATCAGAAAGAACACTACCCAGTGACAACTTGTGATCCTTTCCTGAAGCAAGGTAACTCACACGTCCTTTACAAAGACTCCAGTGGCATTCTCTGATACAGTGAAACAGGCCGAGACAGAAGCAGTAAGGGACAGCTGACTCCTGATCTCATGCCGGCAGGAGTATTCAAAGCCACTGTCCCATCCAGCCACATGTGGCAGCTCATTGTGCCACTGTCCAGGCTTCAGCTAGGGAGATGCAGTAAGGTGCTGGCCTTTGGTTGGGTCAGTGAGAAACTTCAGAAAGGACAGGCTGTGAGTACATGGTACTTGTGCAGTGACTGGGGACAGGAGCTGAGTCATCTTGCCACAGAGCAGACAGAGAGTAGTGTCATGCTTTTGCTACGACACTTTCTAACTGATATGGTATAAATCTATAATTGTTTATCTTATTGTTTGATAACACTTCTTTAAAATTGTAATAATCTCTTGGCTGCAATGAACTAAAAGAAATGAAAGTGTTTGAAAAGTGAAGCTCTATTTTGCAAAAAAGTTGGTGATGAGTAAGTAACTTATATAAAATGCCTGTTGGCATTTGACATTCGATAAACAGGTGTTGTGATATTACTAACTATATGAACACCAGAAGACAGAAAGCTACAAGGATTATCTGCTTGAAAATTAGTTAAGATTGTATCTAAAAAAGACAGTTTGACATACACAGCTGCAGAAAAATATGTTTATATTAATTTATTTTCATTTTGATCAGGGATTGGTAAACTTTTATGTAAAGAACCATCTAGTAAATATTTTCAGCTATACAGACATATGGTCCCTGTTGCAACTACTTACCTCTGCCACTGCAACACAAAAGCAGCCTTAGACAATACATGAATGAATGATTGTAACTGTGTGCCAATAAAACTTTATTTACAAAAAACATGGCCCATGAACCACAGCCTTTCTTTCACTCATTTTCAATTCCAAGTTTTCTTGTACATAAAATATAGTTGTTAATGTGTTTGCTCCATAGCCGAAGAACTTCACAAACAAATAATGTTGGTTGCACATCAGTACATGCAGATGCTTTGAGAGAAAGTAAATTTCAATAATAATTAAATTTTTTTCATTCAATTTATGTAGTCAAAGCAAATTTTTTAAAAAATAGCATTATTACAAATAGTATGGTAAATTCAGATCAAATGTTTATCATAGAAGATAAAATTTATTTTGTGGAAAAACTACAAATACACATTTTGGCAGAGCATGGTAAGAACAACATTCTTACTAAATTAAGAGGTTTATAGGGCAGATACGTACAAAGACTTGGTTGTGGTGTACACAGTTTGTAATTGCATCCAAAGTAACAGCAATATTCTATCTATCAAAATAGAAGCTGCACTTGTCAAAATTTCCAAACACAGAGAAAAACTGAGCTCCTTTTTTTGTGACAAAGCTGAGGTAGAACACCGGGCTGGCGGGTGGCAGGGGATACTAAATTGTGGCAGTATGTGCCTTTCCTTTTTCTTTTTTGCAGTTCATCAATAAAAATCTCAGTGAGCCTTTGAAGAATTATTTTCTGTTACGTATAAATGAGTCCTCTAAATTTTGGTTGTATTTTATTCAAAAATCAATGTTGCAGTTGTGAACATTGGCAAAGTCAAAAGAATTTTTAAAAAGACAACACAACGAAACAAAGGCCGTTTCTTCTCTTAAAATGCATCTTGTCTGTCAGACTCACATTCGCTGCTTAGGGGCAGGAGGTATGTGAGTTGGTAACACCTTTACGGAAACTTTAAAAATGAATGTTTAGAAATATATCCTAAGCAATAATAGAACACATACGCATAGAAAGAGGATGTTGGCTGCAGTATTCAGGGACTTCAGCCAGGAACTGTACCAGGTGCTGTGAATACGTAGAGTATGTATAAATTAGACATAGCCCTGGGCCTCATGGCTCTTGCTGCCAAAGTGATTTATAGCAGCAAGAGCTGGAAACAACCCGACTTCCAATAACAGAAAAGTGGTTAGCCAAACGATAATATAACCGTAAAATGGAATACTCTGTAGTCACTAAAAATAATGCGGAGGATCTATATTAATTAACTTAGCAGAGGACTCACAATATACCATCTGTATTTTTTTAGAATCTTTAAACAATAAGCTTTTACTAATTCCGTACTCAGAACAATCAATGAAGGTATTCTCATTTTTTAAAAAAGAGCCCCTCTTTTAGTGCTTGGTAGGTTTATAAATTACAGAAACAGTTCAATTCTAATATGTTTCTTTAACTCCCTTCCAAGGGATTTCTCTTGGAGCAATATTTGATTCACCTTTGTTTGATTGTCTTCTTTCTGGAAAGCTTCTAATTTCTGCCTCTGCGCCTGTGTGGGTTTGGCCCACTCTTTTTCAATGTCCTGTATTGCCTTAAAATAACAGAAGTTGTAAAATTAGCAGTCTTAGCAGAAATTAATCAATCTGACAAAAACATACTCTTGTATGAAGGGATATAAAAACAAACCCAAGTGGATATATATTTAGGGATTTAGCATGTTATAAGCCTTATTTTTTAAATTAGTAAGAAAGGATTGTTCAATAGCTTGGGGACAATTGGCAACACTTGGCAAAAAAGAAAATAAAATCAGCTCTTTCCCCACACCACCCAATCAAATAAATTCCAGACAAAGATTTAAATGTATAAGACCATAAAACAATTAGAAAAAAAAAAAAGGTAAATATTTTTATCTGACCTTGAGGTAGGGAATATCTTTTTTAAGATATAAAAACAAAATGTCATAATGAAGAAATAGTCATATATAATTATGTGAAAACATAAAACTTCTGTACATGAAAACCACCAAAAACAAAACTAAGAATCAAATGGAAAACCAAGGAGAATGATTGCATCATATATACCAAACAGTTAATATTTATATAAAGCAATAGGAAAAATGTAAGCATCACCAGCAGGAAAATGGACAACAGCTATGTATTGGCAATTGACAAAAAGGAATTCCAAATAATAAGTATATTTGAATCATAAACATAGATATTGGAAAAAATATATCGATAAGTCAATTACTGCTATTGTTTATAACAATGAAACATTTTCAACTTGATAGTGGCAAACACATGTATAGTGCTTACTGTGTGTCAGACAATGTTCTAATTGCTTCAGAACAAAAGTCAATCCTTACCGCCATCCTATGACGTAAGTACTGTTATGAAATGCCCCAAAAGAGGTAATTGAGTTTGGGTATAACTAAATAATAGGCTATGCGATCATTAAAAATTACACAGAATATTTAACAACATAGGAAATGTTTGTAATGTACATGAAAAATATCATATTACTAAGTAAGAGTCTAGTAGTAGACCCTAATTTTTATAAAACAACAAAAAATAAATGTAAAACAACAAGAATTCCTCATATGGATACTTACAAGTCAAGGAAATGGATGTGCAAATACATGAAATGTATATGAAATAAATATGCCCAAAGAGTTAATTAATAGTTTATATGTCTGGTTGATTTAAGATTTGGGGTGACATCTACTTTCATTTTTGAACTCTTCCACACTTGCAAACTTTTTATAAGATAAAAACTAATTTTACATTAAAAAAATTAAAGTTGAATATATTATTAGGTCCTGTCTAGTCAGCCTAGGGTAACCACCACCAGCAAGTGTTCCCAAACTCTAAATCCCTAATGGGGTTCTCGGTTGCTTCCTAATCCACTGTAGACTTCAGCAGAACGACACTGGGCTCAAAGGCAGAAATCTCCTGGAAGGCAACCGCCCCCTGTGGAAGCCCGTCAGGATTGTGGTGAAGCAACATGAAACGTGGAAGTAACAAAGCCTATTGTCTCAGCCTACCCTCCCTGAGCTAGGCACCTTTTCCTGTGCTCCTTCCCTCTCCTCTCGGCACCCAGCTCCCTTCCCCTTTTAGCCAGTCTGGCCCCGGGGAAGCCATGGAATCAGCTGTCCACCTCCTCAGCTGCACACACTCGGCCTGTGCTGCTCTGACTTGTCATGACAGGGCAGAACTGGCCATTGTCCCTCAGTTAGGCTGTCAACCCCTAAGGGAAGACACTGCGCCCGTCATCTCAGCGTGCCTTGCCCAGTGTCCTACATACGGCAATGCCCAGCAATTGTTTGCCAATTATCAGGCACTTATTTTCACCTTAGTCTGAACATAAGCCTATCCGTTACATCCCTCAGTGATATTGGCAGGTTATGCTTTATCTCTCAGAGAATAATGAAAAGCTGAATATGCCTTAAATATTGCTTTAGGCTGGGAAAAGGACATGGGTTTAGAGAGGAGAAGAAAAATAACTAATATTTGTTGAAAACTTGCTTTAGATCGATTTTGTTATTGACTTTTTCCCAACTACAGTGGTCCCCTTTATCCTTGGGGGATACTATCCAAGACTCCCAGACAGGATGGACTGGTACTATCATGGATAATATCAAACTCTATATATACTATGTTTTCTCCTGCATATACACACCTATGATAAAGTTTAATTTATAAACTAGGCACAGTAAGAGACGAACAACAATAACTAATAAGAAAATAGAACAAGTATAACAATATGCCAGCATCACTACTCTTGCACTTTAGGGCCATTATTAAGTAAAACTGGGGCCTTGAACACAAGTGTTGGGATACCAGGACAGTGATAACTGAGATCACTACTGAGTGACTGATGGGTGGATGATGCAGACAAGATGAATAAACTGGACAAAGAGATGATTCATGTTCCGGGCCAGGAAGACATTTCATCACACTACTTAGAATGGCGTGCAATTTAAAACTTATGAATTGTTTATTTCTGAAATTTTTCCACTTAATATTTTCAGACCATGCTTGACCGCAGGTAACTGAAACCACAGAAAGCCAGACCAAGGATAAGGTGGGCCTACTCTATTCTGTGGGGAGGAACAATACCACCATTTTACAGATGAGTAAATTGAGGTTCAGAGAGGTTATGATGTTCAAGATGACCCAGCGAATAAGTGGCAGGAGTTAGAGCAAACCCAGGTCTGGGCACTACAACAGGCCCTTCTACCCTTGCCCAAGCCACTGAATTCTTAGCAGGTAGGTAGCTAGCTACCCCAAGGCTTTCTCCTTGTCACCAGTTCTTCTTCAAACCAAATCTACAGACCATACGAGAAAGCATGGGTGTAAAGAACTAAACACTGCCTTCTTTCCTGAATTGTACTTGATGGTAGAATCCGGTAAGGACTGTTAGCACAGGGGAACAGTATCGAAAAGAAGGGATGGCTGTGTAAAGACAAACAGGAGTCACGGCAGTAAGTACTAAC